CGTAAGAGACATAAGCCAATAAATAATCCTTTTCTTCATAATTTTCAAAAATATATAGAGTTTGCCCGGTATTAGCAAAAAACTGAAAATTGGATTCCATTTATAAACCATAACTAGAAGGCTGTATTTCAGTTGTCAGTTTCTTTTACATGACCGTATGAAAGCTAAAACGTTTGTATTTAAGGTTTTCACATAATACACAATATTTTGTGGGTCTTCTGAATATTTCGTGTTATATTATAAAATATGGTAGGCGTCTTAAATTTGCAGCTACCGACTTCAGATTTGGCAAGAACGTAGAAATCCATACCTACATCTAAACTGTAGAAACTGGAAGCAATTAAATCTGGCCCAGTGTTTAAAAAAAAAATGAAAAAAAATTTTTTTCCTTATTTTGGCTTCCAGAAAAAAATATTTTCTCGAAAACCATTAACCCCATTATACACAGGGTTTTTCAGTTATGGACGAAAATCCTGAAAATTGTACTTTTCCGGAATAAATTATTAGCGGCACATGAAAATTCGTAAAAAATATCGCGAATTGGTATAGACAGTAATGTAGGCCGCATCAAGAGCCACAATTTGCAATCTGCGGTTTCAGAAAAAAATATATTGTCTCGAAAACTATTTACTTTAATTAAAAAAATAAACATTTTTTAAATTATATACAGGGTGTGTTGGTTTTGGGCAAAAAATCTAAAAGATTCTGAAAATTTTCGTTTCTGTTGGTAAATTATTGGTCGAAACTGTGTAAGAGCTACAATTTTCTATTTACAGTTTTCGTCCACCATAGAGGGCGCGCGAGATATTCGAAAAGATATCAATGGAAATTTTTATATTTACTAACATTCGCCCATGACTTTGAAGGTGAGTGACAATTAATACAGGGTGCCTGCACAATAAAATTATATCGATTTTGCAAAAGTTCCATAGCTGTCTGCAGGATTTGGGTTGTTTTTTCAATAAGAAATTTCTGATTTGTTTAAGTAGTCTGCAAAAAAGAAATTATGTGAATTTAGTTTCGATGAAATTTGGTATTATTTTTTTATTGTTGTTATTCTTATCATTGTCCTTCAAAATGTACACCGTGTGCCAAATAAAAAGACTCACTATACGATCTGGAAACCCATAGGAGATACGAAAAAATGTTTCGTACAAAAGTTTCTTGGATTCTTTTTCTTGGATTTTGTTGATACAGGGTGTCCAAAAGTGCAATAAAATCTCAAGATTTTCAAATGGAACACACTATATTTTTAATCAGATATTAATTCTAGGACACAAAAAAAGGTAAGTTTGTTATTTATCTTATACTCAAATTTTACTTACTTTTTAAAATATTCGCGGATTAAAATAACCCCGTATAAATTCTTGTTGAATTTAAGTCTGCCCACATTTGGTCACGTGTCGGCAATATTAGGTATTCTTTAAATAGCAAAAACAAGATACTACTTCTTTCAAAAATATAATACTCCAGACATACGAATAAAATCTGTTGCTAACAATACAGGGTGTCGATTAATACGTGGAGATTTTGAACAAAAATGACTTTAACAGTTTTAATAAAACTTCAGAATTCATATTTAAAGAAACATTTAATAGTTCATTATCTAGCTTGATTGAAAATAATTAATAACAAAAATAAATAATTAAATGAAGTTTTATTAAATCTGTATTGTTGGCAATAGGTTTTATCCGTATATCTGGAGTATCATGTCTTTGCTATTTAAAAAATACCTAATATTGCCAACAAGCGACCTGTGGGCAGCTTTAAAATCAACAATCAACAGAAAGTAAGAAAAATTTAAATATCAGATCAATTAGAAACTTACCTTATTTTTTATCCAAGAGTTGATATCTGAATAAAAATATAGGGTGTTTCATTTGAAAATCTTGAGATTTTGTTAATTGAATTCGCCAAAACTTCACCACCTATTTTGCATACCTTGTATAAGCTGAGGCGCATCTGTCAAACTGATTGACTAGTGCATCATCCCCTTAGTCTGTGGTTAAATTTTCGTTGCAATACCTGGATCATTAGCTTCACAACACTATTTTATATGGGGCAATCAAAATATGAAAAAAAAACACATAACCTCAATTTGTGCTATACAACTTCGACAAAGTTAATGTCGGAGGAGACACTTTTGGGACACCCTGTATACACAAAATTATAATATTCTAAATCTTCGGGAGAGGCCAAGAATCTTTTGTACGAAACTTTTTTCGTATGGGTTTCCAGATCGTATAATGGGTCGTTTTATTTGGCACACGGTGTACGTTAATAAACAGATTATTTAAAAATTTTCTTTACTTACCTCTCGTTACTCGTTTAACAAAAACCAGATCATTGCGATGATATTGACAGTGGTAATTTGTAGAAATTTGTTGTTATTTAGTGGTATTTTAAAAGATAATTAGGGTAGTTTCTCCTATAAGTGGTGTAATAATTTAGTTTACACAGACCCACTACTGACATCTCCCTCAGTTTAAACTGAGTGATTTATTTAAAAACGTAACAATATTTTCAGAATCGCGGAATATGGAAAAAGTGACTTTTAAGTTGACCAGAACTCTGCATTAGGATAAACCGAGATTAGTTGTCTCTAAAATAATTTGCGCTAGGAAAATTACGTTATATTTACACTCCGAAACTTTTACATTATTCCGATAAATAAATCGTCTGGCATTCAACAGAAACCAACTGTTAGGACGAGCGGAAAGTTATTTTTAGCAACTTTTTATACACATAGAATAATATCAACAGGCTTTTGAAAGGGCAAAATGCCAGCGCCCGAATGTCGGCAAAAATAAATTTCCTGACGCTCACAATCACGATAAAAGCCCGGTGATTTATTACCATTTTGATTTTACTTTCAAAACGAATCGAAATTTTTTGATTGGCGCGATTAGAGGTTTTTCCTTTTGATCGTGGCTACCGCCATGTGGCGACCGTGAATTTCGAAATAAACTCGAAATATGTTGCCAGGCACTCGCAAGGCTGAGCTTATTTAAGACTTCTCTTCGCTGTTTTCGAAAAAAAAAATAACTTTTTTACCCAATGTCTGAGCCTTTCCGTTTAGCAATCAAGACAACCGCCGCCATTAGTCCTACGTTCCTTAATAAAATATTTGCGTTATCGGAAAAAGCATGTCGCATAACTTAAAACAATAATTAAACCGAGTAGAATGACTTAAAATTAGTTATCAGTACTTGAAAATGACATACAAATTTGTAATTAACAACGTATTAGCTCGAAGACCAAATCTGGTGCGCACTGAACTATACTAAAGGCACCGTGTTTCCAAAACGATGCAATATTATTTTATCGAAATAAAGGTATTGATATGACTGTTTATCTATATTAAGAAGTAAACGGCCTTGTAACACATAAGCCGGCGTTATTTCTCTCACAAATTTACTCTCCCAAACTGGAATTTTACAACTTATAGTTATACGTGTCTGTAAATAAAGTTTGACACTTAAAAATTTATCGGCATATCGGCATGAATTAACGCAATTACTTAACAAAGCTTCTATTTTAATTTTTAGGTTATCAAGGGACAAAATGGTTTTTTCCCCGACTGCTCTAAATAGGCGCGGAATGAAAAAATGATTCTAAAATATTAGCTCACTACGTGTGGGTCGTAATATCGCTTAACAACCTCAATTAGATTTATTATTCAAATGGACGTGCATATAAAGTTAATGGGATCCTCGCGCCCTAAAATTTCCTGGAAACTTCCCGATCACTCACTGGACCATAAAATATTTCGCCTTGATCCAATTCGAAGGCCCCACTTTGCGAGATAAATCAATAGTCGCTATTTCTACATTTCTAAAAATACGTAAACGATGGGCTAACGAAAACAGTCACAAATATTTACTTGCGAAAAAAAGTACATGACCCTCACCTAATACAATCGCCCAACGCATCTCTTGACAGGAACTACTAATTTTCAATCGATCGAAAAAAATCATCCTTTGTATCCATCTGCAAAATGTAAACACTCACCCTTTTGGCGCCCACTGTGTCAGTCACCAACCCCTTATTCTGTACGACGCGTAGCAACCCCTACCTCAAACGCTTTTTGCACAAATGCGTCCTCAGGAATTTAAAAGATGCCAAGCAAAATTAAATCATATCTAATAAAAACTGGATTTACAAGTTTAGGTTATACGATCATATCATTTGTACGCTAACTGGCTACACTTCGATGGCACTGAAAAAAAAAGGATGCCCGCGAGTTTTGCGACGTTGCCAGCATAATCCGAAGAAAAATTTGGTTGAGGAATTGCCAGCTAATGATCCCAGGGCCTTCGACAAATGTAAATGCGGTTTTAGTCTCGATTTAGATCATGAAAAAATACTCATTGAAACCATCTGAATAATGTATGAAGTAAAAATATCACAGTTTATTTGGCTTAGATATTTATTCTTTAATTAAAGTTACTAGCTTGTAAAATTTATATTTCATGGCATCATCACGATGGTTCGAAACATAATGACAAATAAAACTAATCAAAATTAATCTTGGGAACAGTGCATTTGAATCAATAACGCTGTATTTTTTCTTTCTTATAATTAAAGACCCAAAACTTATTCGAGCCAACTTCCATTGCAAAAAAATGCTACAATGCTTTTATTGGGTTAAGGCAGATTCAGGTGAAAGTTAGGGTTGGTGATGAATAAAATTGTTTTCCATGTTGTTGGACCTTTCCCAAACATCACACCCGGATAGTAGAATAAAACCGGAAACTTACAACATTTATAATAAAATCAGAAGGAAACGGCAACAGCGCATTCACTTATTCTATTGAAACCACGCCTCGCCGTGCGTCCCTGGTTGTAAAGGCAACAATGAATGGCGCTGCGGCAAGTAAACTCGATCCGCGAAAAAGATAACTGTAACCGTGGAATTTGTGATGCCAGCGTTGGCCGTTAGAGGGCGGAACGGGTTAGCTTCGAAATATGTAACCAGATATTCTTTTCAATATACTTACTCGGTTGAATCACAGCCTGCGGGAAAAGACCCGCCGTTTTCGGGAATCGGACTGGGCTCGGGTCCCTCCTGAAGGGGACTCTCAAAAATCAGAGTCTCCACCATGGAACCTTTGGAGCTTCCGAATGACACCCTGCAAAAGAGATGGCGAAAATTACAATTAGGCACCATGAGTATTAGTGGTTAATAAAAGTCCATGGACTTAGTTTTGTTTTCAGAGAGTTAATTTCAGCAGCTAGCTACTTTTCTGCAGTGTGACCGCAGGAGGCAAAAAAATAATTGATGTAAATGTATTCAGCTCATTGGCGACATTAAATTTACACACCTAATCGAATATAGTTAATAACATACTCGTTGCATCTGATTAAACTCCAAATCTAATAAGAACATGAAGTAAATAAAAAAGCAAGTAAATAATTCAAGTTTATTAAAAAGATATCATCGACGATAAAGTGGCTCTGCTTTTCAGATTAAGTATTTGCAACTTTGAGAACTAAATTATTCAGTGCCGTTTTACATTAATAATTAGTAAGAATTAATGATAATATTACATTAATATGGCAAAATTTAATATTATAAGCAGTTGCTACCACTGCCGAACCGAACTTACTTCTTTCTCTTAAATCCCATCATAATATATACAATCGAACTTCGATAAGTCGATAACTCGAATTTTTGATAAGTCGAACCAAATTGGTTGGAAATAGTGTCAAAAGTAGGAAATGCGTGTTAGTTTGTCTTGATTACTCGCAGTTCGATTACTCGAATATCTTGATAACTCGAACTAAACATTTGGTGCCAACTTCGATAAGTCGAATTTTCTCGGGGAACCCCCTAATTACGACCGATCTTAACCTGTTTTTTTAACGTATCTATGCAAGCAGTTCAGTTTCTGTGCTTGCTAAGTTTACTTGTATGACGTAACTAAGTGAAAAATACTGTCTCTATTCAATTTACACATTATATTAAAGACATTTTTGGATGTTTGCATTTGTTGATATGTCATCAAAACATACTTTAAAAGCTTTGTCTGTTGATAAAAAATTCAAGGTTATAAAAGAAGTGCAAAGTGGCTCAAAAAATAAAGATATAGCTGTGAAGTATGGGATTTCGGCAAGTACAGTGTCTACAATTTTGAAAAATAAACATTCAGTCATCACCGCAATGGAACGTTTCGAAGAAAACAAAAACAATAAAATTACACTAATGGATTGTGTTGACGACGTAACTACCGCATGGAATATCGACGTTAAGCCTGAAACAATTTCCAATTGTTTTAAAAAAACCGGTTTTGCTCAGTATTCTGAATGGGACGAAGAAGATTAGATTCCCTTGATTTTCCTAAGTGAACGCCTGAAGAAAAGAGTGAATACGAAATCCAAATAGAAATCGAGTTTCAAGCTTGGACAAACATTAGAGGTATAGCAGAAGGTAGCACCATCAACGATTTTATACATGTGGATGAGGATATTGTTACTTCAGAGTTTCCTAATGATGAAGATATTATCGAGTCCTGCAGATCCGAACCGGTACAGTTAAACATTGAAGATGACTGCGAAAGTGGAGGAGGAATTGGAAGATGATTCCCAGCAACCACCTTCAAATGAATTGGTTGAAAATTCGTTGATTGTCTTGCGTTGATATTTGAAAACCAGTGAATCCACAACCGATTCCCTCTACGATTGTTTAAACAAAATTGAAACTTTTGTTTAAAACCAAAATAAGAAATCACACACAGTCACAAATAACTGACTTTTATCCAGTGAAAGAGTAAACTTTAATATGTTCATACATATGCATGTATATGTGCATACATACTATCTTTATATATACTGGGTACATATACAATCATATACAATACATTTGTATGTACATATATTATGTAAATACATACATATATATGTACTACTATTTCATAATTTTCGTTTTTTGTTCAAAAATCATAGATATTAGGACATTTATGTAACGTATAACCCATTTTTAAAAATGAATGAATAAATGTTCATTCACAAAAAAGTACATGCATTTGTAGTTTTTATTGATAACTCGAAATTTTCATGTGTCAAATCGCAGTTCGACTTATCGAAGTTCGACTGTAATTTCATTCGCAATTTTTGTGATCACATGTCGATACGTCAAAAACAATAGAGCAATGAAAATATTAAGAACTTGTTGGATCTCTTTTTGCGTTAAGTTTGTTCCAACTCATTATGAAACTGTGTTGGTGAAACGTGAACTACAGAGTATTTTAAATGAATATTTAAATACTCGCTCTGACGCAAGACAAATATTCCCAGCACATAAGTACTGTCAGGAATTTTGTTTTAAGAACGGGACATTTTTACGTAGTATACTAAACGATTGCAATGAAGGTTGTCATTTTCCTTAGTATTAATTTTTTAGAACTAAGTTTAGTGTGACCAACGTTTTGTCAATTTTTTTTTGCTCGACTTATTAAAAGTAAATAATAAAAATTCCAAAAAAAATCAGTGGCGTAAGTCTATTCGTTACGGAACGCCACTGGATGTCACAATTTTTATCTAGTAAAAGCTGTTTATCGTGTCGGAAAAAGAATATTTTACATTTTGTAAAAAGCTCGTTTTTTTTAAGCTTAAATGAACATTATCTTTTTTTTATTACAAAATTATAGCTGAGCGTTGAATCATGCCATTTGAAACACCGTGCATAGTAAATTATTTGGTGTCTTCTCATAGCTTTTACACTAAGGAGAAGATGAAGTTTACAATCTTATAAGTACTTTGAATGTGGATTTGTGCTAAAAGTGGAACGTCAAGTTTGTTTAATAAGTGAAAAATGGCCTCAACTAGCTACATTTCAATCAATATTTTGAGCCAAAATGGAATTTAAAAAATATATATATTTTTTTAGTAAAACAATTGCTTTGTTTTTTACTTCTAGCTGTCATTAAAACAGATGTGAGTATTCGGTAGTTGTTATATCGTTATAACTTGTGCGCAATGGTTCAAATTTAAAACAGACATCATTGTAATATTAATTTTATTTTAAATAAAAAAAATTTTGATTAATTTGTTAATTCACATTTCAAAATACTTATTTTAAAAGTACAAATTTTAAAATAATATGCCAAATCTATAAGGCGTGGATTAAGTCTATAACTTTGTTAGGAACGGATCAACTGATTCAAGCAACTTAATACATTCCTTTATACTTTGAAATATTAACAAATCCAAGCGATATTCAAAGCCAGTATAATATTTACATTTGTTTATATTTGATGAACATTAATTGAAATATATGTCGATTTTTCTTTCTTCATTGCTCCAATCTCCATTTTTTTTTCTCCAAAACTAAGCTAAAGTGTTCCAAATTTGCAGTCAACATTAAGTCCGTTTGAGTACATTTTCCAGTAGGTTAATTCTTATCTTTTCCAAAACATGTTTTCTTGGCTGTTTGTTCTGCCTTACTGGCTTATATGTCCGAAAACGAATATTTTTACACAAGAGCTAAGAAAAGTAAAATACATTACAAAAGCAGAAATTAATAAGCGTTTAAAACTTAGAAAACGCCTGAACACTGTCAACAGACACAAAATAAGAGCGTTTACTAAAAAGCAAACAGTTTTGCTTATAATGAAACGTTATTTACCTTGTTTTTTGTGCTATGGAAGCCATATTGAATTTAACTGCCTAACATATTCTTTAAAATTGATATTGATTTGTTGATACTTTTTATAAACTTGCGAGAGACCGCGAAGATATAATCAGCAATCACGAACGGGTGTGTAATAAATATATTTTCACAAAACATTCCGAAAACATCCGATTGCTCCCAAACTCGTGCGGTAAAATCCCGGAAATGTCCGAAGTGGCTAGGATCCGTGAGAAATAAAACTGACGTAGTAAAGTGACGCCTTCCACACTAGATGATCGGTGTGTAAATAGGTATTTTACAGACGGGAGTAGAATATAGTATATTATGCAACAAGTGCGAAAACATTCGATTGCTCGTAAACCCGTGCGGTAAAATCCCGGAAATGTCTGTCCAAAGTAGTTCGGATCCGTGGGAAACGAAACTGAAATGGTAAAGTGACGCTTCCCGCACGCTAGATCGGTGCGTAATTAGGTATTTTACAGACGGGAGTAGAAAAACGGCATTTGACTCACGAGTTTATTTGACACGAGCAGAGCGAGTGTTTAATAAACGAGTGACTTAAAAAGCGAACGTGTTGCGTACTATACTTTTTCAACGGCGGTTAGTTTTTGGGTACATTTTCGCAAAACAACACGAATGCATTCACTGACATGACCGTCAGAACTGACACACGTCAAAATTCAAGGCGTGTGAAATATCTGCCAAAACATCCCGGAAATGTCCGAAGTGGGAAACGAAACTGACGTGGCAAAGTGGCGTTTTCTGCACGCTAGATCGGTGTGTGATTAGGTATTTTGCAGATGGGAGTAGAAAAAACAATTTAAATTTTAATTATCTACTAAATTAAGCTTTTTTCCGCAAGAGATCTATACTTTCCCCGAACTAGTACAAACCAACTTTTTACCCTTAAAGCCTTACGGCATCACCTGTTCAGTTCTCAACCACCCAGGGCTTTTTTGTTGAAAATGACACAAAATTAGCATTATAAATTTAATGAAGCAACTGGCTAATAATCAAAACCGATCGCAATCAATACAAACGAGCGCGAATCTAAGTAATTTTGCTCACGTAAATTACGCCGTAGACATCGGGAATAATTTCTCTATGCAAATTTCGAATGATTTTTTGACCCACATCAGCGCCGTAGAAAGGCCGAGACGCCCACCGTTGGAGTTATTTTCTCATTCAAATGTCGTTTGTCAATTTGATTCATTAGACGTGCCGTGAGACATTGGGTTCGCTAAGAAACCGATAAATTGCCGTCTCAAAGACGTTTTCGTGGAAGATATCGCGGCGAGTTTTTCTGGAACGCTCTTAATTTTCACCGGCAGACATAATTCTGCATAATATACCGCGTGATTCATTCGTCGTGGCGCGGTGTTAAGAAACCGGCCTGAAAATATCTCACACTCGCACATTTTTAAAGCAAAGCAACCTCCACAAGCTAATACATCTTCTGAAATCCTCCAAGCTAGTATTCTACTGTACCTGCTTATGCAA